ATGCATTTCTAATAAAGCCTGGGACAGCAGCCTTGGAGGAACCAGAAGACCTGGCCTTTTTTCTCTCTAAAAACTATTTTAAGACATTGGTATTTGTGAGGAATCGGCATGCGTGAATTACAGCATCGAGGGAGATGTGGAAATTGTGTTCTACTGAAGGATAAAGTACGGTTGACGGTGTACGGTGTTCTGGCTGAATCAGGCTGCAGATTCAGAAGAATGGTTTAGAACAGGGGTGCTCAACCTTGGCTACTTTAAGACTCATGGACTTCAACTCCCAGAATTCCTCAGCCAGCCATTTTGGCTGGCTGAGGAATTCTGGGAGTTGAAGTCCATGAGTCTTAAAATGGCCAAGGTTGACACCCCTGATTTAGAACAAGGGTCTACAAATGTGGCAACTTCTGACTTGACAATAAGTCTTATTGTGGACTCGGACACCCAGAATTCCCCAGCCAGCCATGCTGGCTGAGGAATTCTAGGAATCCAAGTCCACAAGTCTTAAAAGTGGCCAAATTTGGAGAGCTCTCTTGAATTCACTTTGGCGTGAGATGCCGCAGTGTCCGTTCCTTTCCCCACCTCTGGAACGTGGATGATGGATGACTTTTCCTCCAGCCCCGGCGCTGGGACATGTTTGTGCACAAATGCCCCGGCCCCCCATGCAGTGCCCATGCGACCCTTTGGCCCCCAGCAGCTGCTCCTGCGCCTTCTGAACTATTTATAAAATGGCGCAAATAAAAATGTTTGGCTAGGAAGCAGCCCTCTCTCTCTCTCTCTCTCTCTCTCTCTCTCTCTCTCTCTCTCTCTCTCTCGGCACTTTTCCCCCTTCAGGAGGCTGCAGGCAGCAAGCCTGTGCTGCAGTCTTCAGCAAAACAGAAATGTGTCAGGTTGAAACAGGGTCTTACAACAACCCAGAGCACAAGGGTGCTGCATGCACGTCCCGGTTTCGGAGATGGAAAGCACAAACAGCTCCCACTTACGGCCACAGCTGAGCCCAACAGCTCCGTCGCTCAGTGAGTTGCCGTTGTCCGTTGTTCAGGGAGTTTTGCCCCCATTTTACGAAGCTTCCTGCCAGTGTTCTTAAGCGAATCACTGCAGCTGGTAAGTTAGCAGCCCGGTTGTTAAGTGAAACTCGGCTTCCCTATTCATTTTCCTCGACAGAAGGTCGCAAAATGGGGTCACGTGACCCAAAGGCACTGACCCCGTCATAAATATGAGCCAGTTGCCAAGCGTCTGGATTTTGATCACATGACCCTGAGGGGGGCTGTGACGGTCGTAAGTGTGAAAAATGGCCATAAGTGTCTTTTTTCCAGGGCTTGGAACAGTCGCTGAACGATTGTAAGACGAGGATGCTTGTATTCTGCATTCTGCAAATGTTCCCATCAGCCAGACTTCCAGTCATGCGAAAAACATCACGGTGGCTGCTCTGCTAACTTTGTCCTCCAGCCGTGCATTCTTAAATCCGCCCTCCAGCTCAGTCTGTCTTTCGTTCGTTTGCTTTAAGCGCGGCAAGATGTATCCCAAAACTTTAGAAGCACCCCCCCCCAAAAAAGTATGGGGAGTCGTCAAAAGAGTTGAAAGGTCTCGAAAGTCTTTGCGTTGATCGCGTGCATCTAAGATGCTGATTACCCTTACTGCACTAACATGATTTGGCTGAATTTCACAGTTTTATATACAGAGGAAAAGAGGCATAACAGGATAATGGAGTTAGAAGGGACCATGGAGGTCATCTAGTCCAACCCCTTGCTCAGGCAGGAAACCCTATACCATTCCAGACAAATGGCTGTCCAATCTCTTCTTAAAAACCTCCAGTTTTGGAGCACCCACAACTTCTGGAGGCAAGTCATTCCACTAGTTAATTGTCCTCACTGTCAGGAAGTTTCTCCTTAATTCCAGGTTGCTTCTCGATGAGTTTCCATCCATTGCTTCTTCTCCTGCCTTCAGGCGCTTTGGAGAATAGGTTAACCCTCCCCCCCTTCTTTGTGGCAGCCCCTCAAATACTGGAGTATTGCTATCATGTCACCCCTAGTCCTTCTTTTCATCAAACCTGTCCCACATTAAATTTGCCCCACCTTGTTACACCGTGTTCTTTTGCTCAGCTTTTAGGCAGTCTCACTGTGATGGGATGTAGTTAGAATAACAAAGTTGGAAGGGACCTTGGAGGTCTTCTAGTCCAACCCCCTGCTCAAAGCAGGAGACCCCATACCATTTCACACAAACTTTCTTGTCCAATTCTTCTACTTAAAAGCCAGATGCTCCAGGTAGCGGCTATACCAGTTAAGGGTTCTGTGACGTGCATCCCAAAACACTTGGTCCCTCTCACAGCAGCCTTCATCATCGCAATTCCCTCGCTGCAGGGCCTCCCTAATGTTCCCCAACAAACACCCCACATCAGGCATTCTAGCACATGAGACCCAGCCGAGCACTTGTCCATAACCCCAGCTAAAGCTAAGCGGGGCAAACCATAAATAAAGAGATCAATTCCCACCGGTGTTCTGCGCATACTTGACCAATGACAGCTCTCTTGGCCAAACCCTTCATAAAATCTGCTTTGTTTACAACCCTTAGTCTTTATAAGAGCAACAAAAAGAAAGAAAAGAAGGCACACTGAAAACATTTTCTGGTTAGATAACAATAAAGATGACAAACTGTTTCATTTCAGGCTTTGACCCAAAGCTTAAAATAATATATATACCACAGGACTTACCAGGGACAGAGAACTGAACTCTTCAAGACTGGATGGTTTTCTTCTGCTGCTTTTGGGGCTGGATCACCCCCTCCAGGGCACTTTTTGCAGCCATTTTAGCATTCAGCACATCAGCAACGCCCGAATTCTTTCCAGGCAAGGCGCAATAAAACCCCACATCTCCCTTCCTTCATCTCTTCAATGGTGGTTTCTTTTTTTCCTTCCTCCCCAGCTCTGAACTGGGTTTCATTTCCTCCTCCCCCCCCTCTTTTTTTTTCCTTTTGCTTGCTCCCAAACAGTAAGATCAGGTCAGGAACGCAGCATCCGGATGTGTGTCCCCGTTTGGGCAGGTTCCTGGTTCCAAAACAATTCTTTCATTGCTTTCAGAGAGAGAGAGAGAAGGAAGGGGGAAGGTCATCAAGGCCCTTTCTCTTACCAAAACCTTCAGTCAAGCAAGAAGAAAATGTCCAAACGAGGGTGGGGGGGGGGAGCCAGAGTGGAGGGGGAGAGAATCTTTGCAAAGCACACATAGTTTATCGGAGTTTAAACTTTTTTCCGGGAGGGGAGAAAGTGAAAAGCCAAGCCAAGGGAAAGCTGGTGGAGAAAGAGAGAGGGGTCCTCCCCCACCCGGGCCCCTCGCCCGACTGTTTTTATTGATTTCAGTCACTGGAGGCTGGGTCAGCTCTCTGAAGAAATACTGGCTTTCATTAAAGAAGCTCCATGCAGCTCGGTCACGCTGCCGAAGCTCCTTGGCAGCCAGCCGCCTCTCTGTGGTCCTCCTCCTCCTCCTCCTCCTCTCTGTGGTGGGCATGGCGTTCCTCTTCCCTTCTCCATCGGAACAGCCCTCCGGCCTTGGCTGGTTCTCTAAACCCTGAAGCCTTCTAAGCTTTAGCCCTCGCCCCCCCCCCCAGCCCAGCCCAGCCCTGGAAATGCCAACGTCCTGGTCGCCCCACTTAGGGTCAGGGTGACAGACCACCAGCCAGTTGCGAAACCAGGAGCAGCCTCAGATCCGGGCCAAGCACGTAGTTAGTTCTCGGCTTCCCTATTGAAGCCGGGATGCTGGACTTCGAGCGCTGTGTGCTTAATGAGGAAGCAGGGAGAGTTGGGTTTGAGATTCAGGCCAAGGGCTAGACGGGGCCCACGTCGTTTCGCCTCCTTGCGGGATGACCGAAGGGGAACGTCTGCAGGTGTCCAGATGGCCAACACTGGCAGGCTTCCGAATTCCATAACTGTTCTATAGAAGAAGGCATCTCAAGTTTAACAAGCTAATTCTAGAACATCCAGTTCTTTCTTTCTGACAGTAAGAAGCAGTGGAAGGATAACACATTTTGTTCAGCCTGTTTGAACAATCTAGGAATGTCTAATCATCTCCTCCTCCTCCCTCCCTCCCTCCCTCCCTCCCTTCTTCCTCCTCTGCTTCTTTCTCCTTCTCCCTTTCTATTTATCTATCCACCTATCTTACTCCTCCTTCTCAGAAGCTCAATCCAGTGATTCCCATAGAGAAATAAATACCACATCGCCTGAATCAAGCTGACCTTTTCCCCCCCCATAATTCTTTTTTTTTTTAAAAAAAAAAAACGATTATCAGTGGATGTGTCTCATGCCTTACTAAAGGGACTTCAGATTTATTAAATCTCCAACAAAGGAAGGATGACCAGCCACCCTTTTTAAAACATTTATTGGAGAGTCCAGGAAGCAGGCATTTCTGTTGTTTTTCCACTGTATCAGACTTGAAGCCAGCCGCTCCCTGTGTATTTCTCCCTCTATCCAGGATATCTGCTTAATTCATTTTAATGAATATTCAGCGCACAGAACACACAATTGATCAAGCTCCAGTTTTACCAATCTAAAATCACAGCATGATTCCTGTGTCTTTGTGACATAAGCTTTCTTTATATCCGCGTCTCACTTTCTGTAATTCTTCTGTTATTTTTTTCTCCGCAAAATGCATAAGCTACGGTCTCACTATGTATACCTACAAGCTGCAAATTTGAATAATGTTCCCGGTCTCTCTTGTCATTTGGGCCTGAAAAGGTCCGGGGTTTTTGTTTGTTTGTTTTGTTTTGTTTGCCATGTATTTTGAGACCCTGTGTGACTGTTGGGACTATGTTCCTCAATGCAATTTCAAGTCCCCCTCCAAGGCGGGTCTGATACTGCCAGGGCTGAATGGCTGGAAGCCTACCATTGCCTCAATAGTCAATTTAAGGTAAAGGATTCCCTAACCTCTGTTCAGATGTTTCTTCTCACTAGTATGGACCGTATGTGATGGAGCTGTGTTTTATGAGCTGTGGATTAAGTTTGTTCTCTTGGCTCCTAGGGGAAAAAACAAGAGGAACAAGAGGAAGAGGAGACAGAAGAAGAACTTTCTCCAGAGGAGAAGAGGATATTGGAACGAAAGCTGAAGAAGGAGCGTAACAAAGCACAAAAGAAATTAATGCGAGAAGCGAGGATTGGGGCCAAGAAGAACGAACCTAAGAAGCCATCGGGGTCAGAGATGGCACTGGATTATTTAAACACGTAAGTTTGACCCTTTTTGCAATGATCTTTCCTGGGCAATGAGTAGAACAATCATTGGGTTACAAAAATTGGCCACCTTCACACATTCAGTCCTGGATCACAATTTGGAATTAAATTCTAGTGGATCCTGTGTCTTGGTTAAATATCTGTGGAGATTCTCCATCATCCAGGTCGTGGTTGTCCCCAAAGTGCTTTTTTTTCTTGAAAAGTTTTGCTTCTCATCCAAGAAGTTTCATCTGTTCTTCAATTCTTCGGCAGAACTGAAGAAGCTTCTTGGATGAGAAGCGAAACGTTTTCAAGGGGGAAAAAAAACAAGGAAGTCCAGTTGCCTTTTGAAGAAAAAATAAAAAGCATCTTTGGTACTGTTTCTTAGTTGTTATACCACATGGAAGGTTATGGAAGAGAAACATAAGTCTAAGGCCCTCTTAGATCCATGTAACGTGACCTGGTCTGTCTGCTTCCCCTAGTTTTCTGGACTCATGTCTTCCACTTTGTTTATTTCTAGTCCGCCTCTTTCCCACCCTAAGATTCAACAAATAAGACTTCATTTTAGAATCCAAAAGGCTAACATGTGACTAAAGATAGGTCAAGTTTACATCTCACAGCTAACACACCTGACCCGGTGGGATTTAAGGAACATCTCGCTACATAGGTAGATTCACCACTGAATGCCCCAGTTTCCCAACTTCTTATCTTTAGCAGTGCCTAGAACCAAGACTACGGCTTCTAGGAACAGGGACGTACTCTACTCTTCCGTCTGGCTGGAGCAAATTAATTGCGTCCCAGCTTGAGAGACACATGAGTCGGACTACGGAGGGAGAGCAGAACACACATTGTGCTCTTCAACGCAATTTGAGGAGCAGCTGGAATCCTCGGCGGTTTATCTGTCGTGGGTTGATAGGTATTCTGGAACGTATGTTAGCGATTATGGCAAGATGCGCTTTCTGGTTTGAAAAACAAATGAATAAATTCTGGGCTTCCCTCGCCGGCGTCTTTGCGTTGAGCAATTGGAGCAGACAAATATACAATATGTATGAACCGACAGGAGATTTGTGTTCATTTCATTTCGCTTTATTTTTGCCTGCCCAGCAAACCAAGGCAAGGGGGGAGGGGTTCCACGGCGGGGAGCAGAATTTCCACTGCTAAGCAAGGCGGTTGTTAACTGAGGACCATCTCATTGGTGCCTGTTGGGTAAATGGAGGTTAACACCAAGCACAACCGTCTCCTAGCACACAATTCTCACGTTTAATTGTTCGAGCCGTTCAATTAGTTGGTGAACAACGTGGATGAAGAAGTTGCCACAGAACAGTTGAGCAGATAAATATAATCCAGGGATATCCAAGAGATGAAGAGGGTGTCCCCCACCACAGAGTTGAAGCCTTGCCTGTTTTTTAATGAATGTCACAACAGAGGCTGCTGAGAAATGTTGCGTCCTGAGAGTGGTACCGAGTGGCTTCAGAGGACCCTGACCACAATAGTGTGGGAATGTGAGTTAACGTCTTAGGTTGAAAGTATTTTTATTTTTAATTTTTTTTGCCCAGCGTCATGCTGTTTTGAATTATGGTTGTTTGTTTACGCACTTGAGTCATGGAAATTTATTGGATGTTATTTGACTATATTTATATACGAATCATATTTTCAAACACAGCCAGGGTTTGTGTGACAAGTCCAAAGGACCCACATTGTGGAAAATCTGGACTTCATAATGTAAAACTAAGCCGGTCTCAGCAGGTACATCCAACAACTTGTGCCTATCAAGATTTTCGAATCTCTGTGTGGTTGGTGTTTTCTCCGCTGCCGAGGACTTCATATTTTCTAGCTCCGCTGACATCTCTTAATTCAAAATAGTCACTGGGGAGTTTCATATAAAAAAGTTTCAATTTCTTATATCTGAGTGTTCCAAAATAAATAAATATGTCCTAGATTCAAGAGAGCCTTTCTTTTGCAATAGGAAATTGAAATATGAGTAGAATCTTGTCAAAACCACTATCATAATATCATAGTTCAGCACAGAACCACTGCTGTCAGTTATTTGCAAACTAATTGGCGAGTTTTGAAGTTTTCAGTTTAATGAGAAGATATAAAGCTCACGCCATCCGAGTACAACAGCTGGTCCTTACAGCAGTTCATTTAGTGAAGGTTCAAAGTTACAACAGCACTGAAAAATGTGACTTACATCTGTTTCTCACACTTATGACCGTTGCAGCATCCCCAGGGTCATGTGATCAAAATTCAGATTGTTAGCACACTGACTCATATTTACGACGGTCGCAGCATTCTGAGGGGGTCACACAATCCCCCTTTGAGACCGTCTGACAAGCGAAGTCAATGGGGAATCCAGATTCACTGAACAGCCGTGTTGCTGACTTAACAGCTGCAGCGATTCACTTAACAACTTGGCAAGAAAGGTCGTAAAATGGGGCAAAATTCACATAACCAATGTCTCACTTAACAACAGAAATGTTGGGCTAAACTGTGGTCGTAAGTCGAGGACTATGTGTATTGTCTGAACACAACATACGAATGTGATTTAACAAACGCAATGACAGGGTCCCCCGGTGAAGGAAATTCTTTTTATTCCAGCAAACAACACCATGCAGAGATTACTTGCCATTTTTTCCCTTTCCTGGAATTAAATTTTTGAGAAGTTGGGGTTCCAGGAAGGAACCAGGCAGAGGAACATGAGCTGTCCACTCCGAATTTTGACACCCACTACGGTCCTTCATTTGCGCCAAAGGAAACGGCCGTGTCAGGACGGTTAGCTCCAGTATGAATCCAGCTTTATGCCTCTGTTCCGTCCTGTCAGGGGATGTTTATGATGAAAAAGAGCCTTGGAGCAGGATAAAAAAGAAAGGGGAAAAAAAGAGGAAATGTTTGGTTTGCTGTACGTTTGTTGTAAACATCGTGAGTCCAAATAAATTAAGACATTTTTGAAATGTTTAAGATAACGCCGGGATGATTTAGAGAGCGCAGACATCCTCAGAGCCTCTTTTACAAGCCAATAATAATAATAATAATAATAATAATAATAATAATAATAATAATAATAATAATGTTGTGATGTTTTTCAGAAAAGCTTCAGGGACGAACAAAGGGGGGGGTGTCGTACTGTGGCAAGCTGGGAATTCTGTCATAACCCCCCCCCCCCCAAAAAAACTCAACTTACAGCTACCCTTGAGCCCAAACTTTCTGTTGCAAAGTGAGAGATCTGTTAAGTGAATTTTGACCCATTTTACAATTTTTCTTTCCATAATTGTTAAGGGAATCTCTCTTCCCCCATTGAGCTTGCTTATTAAATCCTGTTCACAAAATAGGGATCACATGATCCTGGGGCAATGTAATGGTCATAAATATGAGTCAGTTGCCAAGCTTCTGCCCTTTGATTACGTGGCCATGGGGATGCTGCAGTGGTCATAAGTGTGAAAACTGGTCATAAGACACTTATTTCCAGTGCTGTTGTAACTCCAAACGGTCGCTAAACTAATGGTTGTAATTTGAGGGTTGCCTCTGTTGTAATGTTGCACTGAAAGGCTTGGATATTCTCGGGGGGAGGCAAGAAGAGAGTGGAAAATATTTGCTTTTTTTCCCTTTTCCTTCCTTCAAAGTTGGTAACTATCGCCTTCCGGATGAATATATACAGTATGAATGAAACAAGCGTTCCCCCCCCCCTTTTGCCGTCGATCCTGCCCGTCTGAGCAAAGCTTTTCCTGCCAACAATTGAGGCCTCCTCGTTTCCCTTCCCTGCCACCCCCAATAAGTTCATCAAGGGAGGGAAATGAGATAAGTTACGTCTCTCCTTGCTTCATCCTCCAATACCTCAGACCAGGCCAGAATTAAGTGCAAAGTAGCACGACATCTGGATGCAAACAGTGGTACAGCTGCATTGTGTCATATTTTACAGAAGAACGCTGATGGTTTGACTCTATCATTGCACAATCCTCATGGAAAGATAGGCAGTGGGTCTGTTTTCAGCGGTGTCCCTGGCATTTTTCTCAAATTAGGATAGGTGGCGTTGGGAGGTCCACAGGGTATGGTCAAAAAACTCCAGAAAGTAACCACGGTGGTATGATGGTAGCGCCCCTTTTTTTAGATGGCAAGGCAAGAAACAATGGTTGGAAATTAGCCTAGGAGAGAAACAATCTAGAATTAAGGAGAATTTTCCTAACAGTGAAAGCAATCAACCAATGGAACAGCTGGAATAGCTCCATCACTGCAGGCATTCAAAAAGAGACTGGACAACCGTTTGTCTGAAATGATATAGGGCAGGGGTCTTCAAACTTGGCGACTTTAAGACTTGTGGACTTCAACTCCCAGAATTCCTCAGCCAGCCTTGTTCTAGATGTGTCTTGTAGAGCTTCCATCCCATCATTGGGGCTACCATCTTTGCCTCTTAACAGCTCTGCAATGGAATAACACTCAGATCTTATGGGATTGATCCATATTAAGGATGGCCCATCTCTCCTTCCTTTTAGTTTGCTATGTGCCACTTGGATTCATTTTGGGTTAACTTCTGTTCATTGGTGCGGTGCGGTGTGTACCTTGACTTCTCAGTTGGTTTGATCCAGTGGGCTCTGTATTTCTAATAAAAGAGTACCATTGTATAAGGAGGAACCTTTGTGAGTTTTTTTCATAACATAATCAAAGAGTCAACAGTCCTTTAAAAAAAAGAACCCAAGGGTTCAATTATGTAAGGAAAGTAATTTTCCTGTTTACACACTTGCAACAAGCTGCGTTAGATTTTATGTCACATTCTTCTGTTACAAATTTTGGCTTGGGGACCAGTTTTGTGTTTGCATAAAGAAAACCAGCAACTATTTATCTATAGTTTAGGTTTAGAAACAAGGTGTTTTTGAAAACATTTGCAAAAATTGTTGATGGTTGGACCATTCCTAAGAAGCTTTGATTCCAATTTGCTTCAATCACTTCTAAAAACTGTGGTCCAGATCCAACACAAATTTCATCTGACTCTCTGAGTTTGGATATCACATATCGTTGGCCATGACCAGGCCTGTTTCATAAGCACGAGTGATTTGAGACATACAAATCAACTCTTAAGATCAACACATCATAATTTACCATTATGTCCAAACCTGGTCTACATATTCCATCAGAAACAATTAAACCCAGATTTGTTTAATCAGAATTGTGGGCCATGAAAAGTTGGCTTCATAACGTCTCATTTCAAGTTCACCTGTCTCCATTAAGTAGTTTCTTGGGTTACAACAACAAGCCATGGTTTTGTTGCTAAGCACTCAATTCCATTCCAAATGAGAAATGCTGAATATGCCTGAATAGGTTTAACAGAATAACAGCAGAGTTAGGAAGGACCTTGGAGGTCTTCTAGTCCTGGTCTTCTAGCCTGACCAATGGTGGATGTCCTTCTAATGTTGTTCTGCTTTAGGGTGATGTACAAACATCACTAGTCTTAATTTCCCTATGGACAGCTTTGGAAACCTAGCTTCATCCCTACCAGTAAATGGACATATTCAAAGTAGGCACATTTGGAACAACATGGAAGGCTTAAAACAGTTTTTGAAATAAAGGTTGCATCTCAAAGACTCTAGAACAGTGTTTCCCAACTGTAACCATTCTCAGATATATGGACTTCAACTCCCCAGCCATCCTATCTTTCTTTTTTTGCATGTTCTGCTCAATACTTTTTTCCCCAGGCCCACCAGGATCTGAACAAAGATCTGGACACCTTTGAAAACGGAGATAAGGGGTACCCATGATGGCTTCCCTCTTAATGTTACTGAATTTCTTTCTTCAGCTTTCTCTTTCTGGCTTTCTTGCAGCTGGTCTGAGAGTCCTCAAGGCTGGAAATTTCAGAAGACCAGGCAGACATGGCTTCTTCTGCATATGTATGACAAAGACCAGGTAGGCCCCCCCACCCCATCCCTGAATGTGAGGATCAGCAATGCAGACCTGCTACAATGTCTAGTCTTTTCTAGACTGAGATGCCCCAAGCTGACCTCACCTGCTTTCCTTGCTCTCATGTAAGCAGCTACGGTCCGGGCACCCAACCTGGGTGCCACTTATTGTGGCTGGGTAAAAACACTTCACTCACCCTACTTGCCCCCTTTTACAGGTCCCCGATCAATATTTCTCCATTTTGCTGCGGTATCTTGAAGGACTTCAAGGCCGTGCCAGGGACACAACGGTCCAGAAAGCCGAAGCTCTGATGAAGGAGTACGATCACTCTGAAATGGAAGACGATCTCCTGGAAGAAAAACGTGAACGTATCCGGAAGGTTTTGCAGTTGCTATCATAAAAAAAAAACCAAGCCCTGACCTTGCCCACATTTCTTAGACCAGAAGTCCCCAACCTTTTGGGCACCAAGGACCGGTTCCGTGGAGAGGGGTTTTTCCACGGATCGGAGGGGTGTGTGATTTTGTGTGCTGCCTGCATCCTGTGGATGGGACTTTGCTTGTTTGTGCAGACCGGTTGCTGGCATGCCGCGGCCCGGTACCAGTCCACGGACTGAGGGTTGGGACCCCTGTGTTAGACCCTTCTACCGGCATCAAGTTACAAGAACAATATAAATTCTTATCCAGTCTTTAGATTTCAAACTCTCGGCCACAAACCCTGATGTTGCTTTGAAATCTCTTCCAGGGTTGCCAAGCATGTGGAGGAAATAACTAAAAAGAAAAAGAAAAAATCAATAAATGGATCGGTATTGAAAACAATACTTGGATTCAACTTTTCAGAATTGGTTTCTTTTCGTTCTTTTCTTTGGTAATTATTAAGAGTTGTCGATTTTCTAGTAAACGTGTCTCCTCATCTTCTCAAATGGACCTGAGACCAGAATGATGTTCCTCAACCTGGAAATTCCAGAAGTTTCATTTCATCTCATCTCAGCAGGAGCAGCCCCTACCGTCTTTCCCTGCTTATCTACTTTGTTGGCTCCTAGTTAAGTTATCGCTTTGTGTAACCTAAAAATCCTAGAAGCTGCAACCTTTCTCTAGACCACTATTGTTTACCTTGAATATTCTGTTTCTATCAAGTGATCTGAGAGCTCACAACATTTTCATGTCCCATAGTATGTTATGGTTAGCAGCAAAGTCCTTCTCCATGGACCGGGTCAAAAAGTTAAGGAATGGAGCACCTACAACCTCTGGAGGCAAGCAGTTCCACTGGTTGATTGGCCTCACTGTCAGGAAGTTTCTCCTTAGTTCCAGGTTGCTTCTCTCCTTGATTAGTTTCCATCCGTTGCTTCTTGTCCTGCCTTAAAGGACTTTGGAGAATAGGTGGACCCTTCTCTTCTTTGTGGCAGCCCCTGAGATATTGGAAGACTGACGGCTATCATGTCACCCCTGGTCCTCCTCTTTGTTAGACTAGGTATTTCCAATTCCTGCAGCCAGGATCACTTAATTGAAACCCTGTCACTTTGCAGATGCATCATACATGCAACACCCATGAAGAGAGTGGGGGGTCCCACCTTGTTTTCATGGCTGTCAACTTCTCAGCACCACAGATGCTGCTTGATTAGGAGAGAGCAGCTTTTTCTACCATTTTTGAGGCATTCCTCTCTTTCCTATTTATTCTCAGAGGATGATTTTCCAACTGGGTAATTATTCAAAGGTCACGGCTGTTAATTACACCATTGTCCCGCTACAATTACCAGCGTCTCGACACTTTTTGCTCTTCTTAAAATTAGAGGATTTGTCTGGGGTTGTGTGACAAGGCAGCCTTCAGAATCTCGGGAAAAAATGTGGAAGTCATCAGTGCTTCCAAAAAGTCATTTAAGCAACTTCATCTGGGCAGCCAAATATGTAAGCAACCCAAGATGTGTTATGCTAACACAATTCAAATGGAATTTAGTCCATGAACAGGAGCCAAGACTCTATTGGGCAAAGCAAAACATTTTACACACGTTTGGAACAGCCCAACAACCCACCAATTGTAGTTTACGGTTGCCTGTTTCGGCTCATCCTGGTTTTCCTGTCGTTGCTGCCTTTTTAAATTTTTTACTTTTTTTTATTACAGGTGGTCTTATTACAGGCAGGTGAAGAAGCCCATGGGAAAAACTACACTTCTCTCCTAAACTTGAACCACAGTTCGGGATTTGCAAGCTGTACGCCAGGGTTCTTCAAACTTGGCCCTTTTATGACTTGTGGACAGCTCCCAGCATTGCTGGCTGAGGAATTCTGGGAGTTGAAGTCCACAAGTCATAAAAGGGTCAAGTTTGAAGACCCCCCTGCTCTACGCCAACATAATGGTGCAGTGTTATTTTTCCAGGAACTTTAAAAAAAAAAAAAGGCTTCCTTGTTGATTTGCGTCTCTATGAACGGGGTTATATACAAAAGGAGGAAAGACCTGTAGAAGTTTATCAGAAGGTCTTATCGCTTTCAAACATGCATTTTGTTTGAATACAATGGGGAAAATTTGGACAGGCGGATGACTGCACAGATAATACAGCCGGTCTACTTTTCCCTTCCCCCCACCACTTCCTTTCTGGATCAGAATTTCCTGAACAAAATTAAAGCAAAGTCTAATTATTATGGGGAATGACATCTCTAAATAAATTAACAAGTCTTTCTTTCTTTCTTTCTTTCTTTCTTTCTTTCTTTCTTTCTTTCTTTCTTTCTTTTTAAAAAAGCAAGGTTACGAAATAATCTTAGCCCCCCCCCCCAGGCAAAATTGGCTTTGACCTTGGTGGAACCAGAAGTGGGGTTTAAATTTCAAACTTTGATGTATTTAAAGAAAAATGGAGCTGAAAAGTGACTGCTTTAGGAAAATACATATTCTGCATCGCAGTCCAGTGTTTCATTTTTTTAAAAAGGAATGGTAGTGTAGGAAAGAGGGAAGGGAAGGGAAGGGAAGGGAGGAAGGAAGGAAAAAGAACTAAGGTGATTTTAACATTACTACATTTTTCCTTCTGCTTTGGAGTGATTATTAAGTTGGGTAACATGTTTTCTATGTCTGTTTGGCTCTGGTCTGGGCCAATTTTCAAGGAGAGTAGCTACAACTTCGAAACCAGCTTCTGCTCTCTTTAGATTTCCATGGTGACTTTACCATGAAGATCTGGAAAGTGATGTGCAAAACTTCTGGAGGAGTATCAGTTGAGGGAAAGGATGGGGATAAGCCGTGTTGTGGGCTTTCAGTGCTTTTGAAAGGAGAGATGATGCCACAAACGTGGTTTCAGAGGACATTATGAATATTAGAGCAGAAGGAACAGCTTGTCCCAAGTCAGATTCTTTTACTGTGTGTCCCTTGGACAATAGGAGCTTGTGGTGATGATTAAATGTTACATCTTCTGAAATTCTTGAATAAAGGTCAATCTTTATATCTCACAATTTTCTACCAGTGGCGACAAGAATGTCCTAAAGGGCGTAAAGGTGGGTGGCCATAATGTCTTCTTCCTCTAAAATATTCCCAGCAAATTGCTGCTCAGATCCAAAATTTAGAATTAATCAGGAATTTGGCTGGTGTGCTACAAAAGCTTAATATGGATCCTTACTAAGACCAGCCTGAGGAACATTTTGTAATTTCTGCAACCTGCTGAATGTCATCCATTTGTGTTGGATATTCTCCCAGGATCTCCACATTTCAAGTTTTAATTTAAAACAATGGATTGCCAAGCCAATGTTGCAAATTGAAGCCATCTAGGACACATCTCCCTTCAGCTGCCAATTTGAGGCCCTCAAATATTGTTCTTTTTTTCTTCTTTTGTGTGCCTTCTATTGTCGCTATTATTAACAAGTGGCATGTTCTTTTACCTAGATAGCCTTTAATTCTGTCCCTTTCAGATTGATTTCCTTGATGGATCTCCCATGAAACGTCTCTAAATTATGAATCTTGGATGAAAAACTTAAGTGATAACTCAAAGATCAACCTAGTTGATGAGACCTCAACTTTGATCCTTCTTGATAGCCATCAGGAACATGTAGATTCCACTGGCTGATTGTCTTCTTGATCCTTAACAGATCAAAGGTTTTTTCTAACCAAAGAATCAACTGTTTCCTTCCCATGGGATGCTTGGATGCTCTCAGAGTAAATCCTTCTGAACTTTTCACTGCAAAGAACCAACTTTCACTTAACATCCTTCTTCTGAACTTGGATGTCCCTTCTATCAGTCCCTGCCAATAATCACAGGAACTATATACCCTCCATGAATGTGCTTAAATCTCTCTGAAAGACATTCTACACAATCTTGGCAAAATGAAATGCTTGGCTAAGTTGGTAGGGATCCAGGCTTCTTGTTTTGTTCTGCCCTTCAACCAACTCTCTGTATGCTGTTAACTAGGCATTTATAAGAGAATTCAAAATAACCATCTCTATATTTTGGTGAGTTTAGGTAACATTATTGATAAAGAAGAATATTTGTAGCACAGGGTTGAAATATGGGGTTCTTGGTGATCTCTGAGCTTGGTGGTTTTCTTGCAGACTTTTCATTACCCAAATTAGGTAACAAACTAGGACTAGCACTGATGATGTCACCTAGTTTGGGTAATGAAAGGTCTGCAAGAAAATAACCAAGCTCGGAGAGCACCAAGGACCCCATAGTCATCGTCGTCCTCCTCCACCACCACTACCACCAAGGACCCTTCTCAGAGCATATTAATTGTGTGCAACCATCTCCCCACCCTGATGGATTCAGGATTTGAGAGTCTGGTTATTAAGTCCCTCATAGAAACCCCAGGGAACCCCTTCCTCAACCCAAATCCTTCTAAATGTGTTGGTAGCAAGACAGAGAGAGTATCAGACTGAGAAAGATGGACTAGGTTTTCCTGTTCTTCAGTAGTAATAAAGTCTTTCTACAACGGAGGTGAAACTTTCCGGAGTATATAAAATTAGCAAACAATAGGGCTACAGATCCACTGCTGGGATCAGAGAGAGCAGAAGTCTTCCCATGCAGCTGCCTAACTCTGAATGGTTTACGGGTTGTGTAAGTCGCAAAGACACCCGTGTTTTAATGACTTCTTGGTAGCTGAAGTTGCAATATGGTAGTGACCTCTGCTGGCTGGAGGGAAAAGCCAGTCATCTAGTGAATTCTAATCCAGAGAGGGTTGAGAGTTTATCCTCTAGACTTGTTCCTCTTTAGTTGCAAAGTATAGTAAGTATACTCAATATTTACTGTGGGGGGGGGAGACTTATCCCAATGACTTGTGACATTCCCTGCTGGCTTCCCCAGTGACTTTCTAGGGAAGCCAGCAAGGAAGGTTGCAAATGGCGATCACTTGATCTTGGGCCATTGCAACCAGTTGTAAGTGTGAACTGGTTAGCAAAGGTCCAGATCACGATCACAGGGCTGTGGGGTCATTGGGACTGCCAGAACTTCGAGGATAGTTGTTGTAACCACCATTCTTTCAGCCCTGTCATAACTTGAATGGCTGATAACTGATCGTAGATCAAGGACCACCTGTATTTTTTCAAGATGTTGGGAACTGAATCTCAGGTTTATGCTGGTCATGATGGAGGAAAAAGAGCAGAATTAAAAAGACATTCTATGTCACATCGGAATAAACATTGCTGAGCCTGACCACATGGCTGACTAGCAATGGCTGGGGAATTCTGGGAGTTGAAGTCCACAGGTCTTAAAAGTTGCCAAGGTTGGACATCCAAGCTGTGGTTTACATGGTCCCCTCATCAAGTCTGTAAAGAGCCCATTTTTATTCATTCACTTGCAGAAGACAAGAAGGAAAAGTGACAAAGTATTTTTTTTTCTTGAGGCCGAGAAAGAATTCCAAGTATTTCGATCCTGGCTTCTTTGCAGAACCACCGAGTCTGCATCCCAGATAACTTACAACTGTACTTGAACCACAGATCTGTACTAAACTGCTCCATGGCATTTTTCTTGGACCCAGCTTGACTCCCTTCACATCTGCCAGCAGTTAATTTTTCACAGAGGTTCTTGGCTTCCAGGTGAAACGTTACATCCCTCGGTTTTAATTTTTAACCTCCTGCTCCAGTTCTGCAGATTTGTTTTCTCCCTTTTGTCAGCAAAATTGCTGCCCTTCCCAAGTGAATCCAGTTCGGAAAAGCAGCATTGTTCACTTGACGAAGCTCGGAATGGTGCTGGGATAACCCGGTGATCACGCATGTTAGTTATAAATTCACTTTTTATTGACTCATCCCAATGGTTGCCCTAGGCAACCTTAAAGCCCAGAAGAGGACAATAAGCATGTTTATTACCTAAAAGTCTTGAAAAGGCAAAGTCCATAGCCTTTTCTCCCTCCGTTACTTTCAAATCCTGCAGTAGAGAATGCTTGCAGAATCTGGATGTTGTTGAGAAGGGATCTCTTGCTTTCTCTTGTAAAATCTGAAATCTAATCTGAGTCCCAGATTCGGTTCTTGGTCTTAAGCATGATCAACTTTGCAGAGAACAATCGGTTACAGCAGACTTCTGCTTGCTAATCTGGACTTCTCCTTTTTTTTTTTTTTTAAGTCTCTGAATCTTTTTAAAAATATCTTGCTTTTCAGTCATGGAGCTCATAAATATCTTTTCCTGTATTTTCACCACCACCCTCCTGCTCAGTGGGAAATAGCTTAGCTCCCTCATGTCCTGCTCTGAGGCACTCATCTCTAACTGCCATTTAGACTCTGATTTTATAAAGTGACTCTCGAGAGATCTTTGACCCAAAGGAACAGGTAGAAGTAGATGGTTATGCTAGTCTCATTCCTTTGATAGAGCAACGTCGTTACGTGAACCACTCATATGTGATCTAGAACAGGAGTGTCAAACTGCCAGCCCGCGGGCCAGATGCATCACGTGGAAGTCGCGCCCACCACATTGCCAGCAATGGCAAAACCAGCCTGATACATTGCATGACGTCGCGAGTTTGACATGCATGATCTAGAGCAGTGGTTCTCAACTTGTGGGTCGGGACCCCATTTGGGGTCGAACGACCATTTCACGGGGGTCGCCAAACAATGCAGTCGACCATTTTTTCCCCCTTTTCCTTAGCTGTGCTACTCCCTTTTATTCTATTGGCTTTTGAAAGCCAATAGAATAGACTCTCTTGAATAGAGTCTAATTCTATTGGCTTTCAAAAGCCAATAGGAATTGTCCAGGCTGTCTCTGCCCTGCTGAGCCCACCAAAAGTCCCATTCTGCAAACGGTGCTGCACCAGTTGAGTAGTCCTCGACTTACGACCGGTTGGGGGTCATGGCATTAAAAAGGTTGAGAACCACTGATCTAGAATAAAGAGTTGGAAAACTGGTGCTTGGAAAAGTCATGAGAAAAAGGAATGGGTTGAATAGTGGACAAGGGTAAAAGCAAAAGAAATGACCATCCCTCAGACCTCAAAGGTTGAACACTCCATAAAGATGTTTGTTCTTTGACTCGGAGACCAGAGTCCATTTGTAGAGGGATATCTGTTGTGTGAAAAACATCCCCTGTGTGGAAAAATCTCAGGCTGGCTTTATTTATATATATAGGATTTAGATCACTGTCCATCTCATGACAAGCTATGGACTTCAAGCTATGGAGAAGGTCTTGACTTCCCATCTGCCCAAATGCACATATGCTGAGAGATTTTGGATCCTCTATGCAAAACAGGGGTCCTTGCAGGACCAAGTCTGCAAGTCATTGATTGGAAAAGTCCAGAAGTTAGGTTTTCTACATCGAAAACTGTTCCCAAAAAGATAGAAGAAGCCATGCGGCTACAGAAATGAGGCCTTCTCAGATGAAGGTGATTAAAACATCTATTACTTAAAATCAACCAGGCTCCTCTCCTGGTTATTGCCTCCATCAGTTACAAAAGTCCAGCGTCTCAGAAGATTCTGTATTCTTGCCAAAATGCACTGAAAGTTAACACATTTCTTTCAATCTTTTGACTTGAGGATTTCACCTTTCGAACACTCTCCTGTTCTCTTGGCCAAATGTCCTGTTGATTTCAGATGAAAGGAATTTTCTGGATCCTTCTTAGAATGCAAACTGAAGATGGAATGTGGCTTAAATCAAGAAATTTATGGCCTTAAGTTCCTTGTGGTGAAATCTCATATTAAAAAAAAAAAAAGGCGTTGAGTCCTGACCATATTTGTTTATGGATTGTTCAGAATTTGACTAAGTCTTGAGAATGGTGGACGCCTCTTTAAGTAAACCACATGGTTTCCATCATTAGGCAACCAAGGAGCTTTTGACACGGCCAAACATCTGGGCGAAGGTTTCTGAAGAGGACTGGAACAATGGTCTGGGCTATTTCGCAACTATTTTGAAGAACTGCCAAGTTGGCTTCTTACCAGATAAAAATGCCTTATCAACCCTTGCTCCATCAGACTTTCTCACCATACTTCTTCTCCAAAGCTACTCGCAACATGGCTCCCTGGATATCTTTCCTCCTCCATCCAACCATCATCTTCTGCTTGATTTTACTGTTTCTATTAACAAAACTTTTACTGAGCAACCTCAGCTGGTCATCTCGACGTATGCCTCCTGGACCTACCCCACTCCCTATCATTGGCAATTTGCATTTGATCAATATTACAAGGCAAGATGTCTCATTTATGGAGGTAAGGAGCAAAGGGATGGTGGTTCAGATCTTCTGTTATTAGCAGGAATGACCTGGATGGTAATTTAAGAGAAGGTTGAGAAGAAAAATTAGGGAGATGTAACAGTATACATAGACCTTGGTTTGGTTTAAATCATAGTTGGTTTACTTTGGTTTAAGTCATATTTAAACTTTTGGTTTAAATCATATTTGGATTGATTTGAGTTTCTGCTCCTATTCATGTTGGCCTGGAGATAAATTAAATCTGTATGCGAGGGTACATGCTTGCTCATATATTCTATTGATTACAATAAATATTACTGCCAAAATATCAACAGTTGTCTGTAACTTGCCTTGATTGCCCTCCCTTCAGAAACTTTATTAAGAGATCAAATATTCTCCGTTTCTTCTGATGTCTCTTTACAGCACATGAGGGCAGAACCTTAGTAGTTTTAAAAGGTTATGTCCAAGAGGACATTTTGGCAGATAAGGATGGTCCCATAGGGTTTATGAAGTCATATCTCCCAAAATACCCTTGCGTGCAGTGCTTTTTTTCTATATATATATATATATATATATATATATATATATATATATATATATATCTATATATATATATATATATATATATATATATATATATATATATATATATAAAGGTGCCGGAACTCACACATGTCATACAACCCACCTTGCCTACCCTACAAGGTTCCATCCAAAAAAGGTGCTGGAACTCCGTTCTGGGCATTCTGTGAGAAAAAAAGCCCTGCTTGCATGCATACGATTCAAAAGTTCCCGGAAGAGAAGGCACAGTGTGGTGAAACCAGCAAGTTAAGATAACCTTTATTGTCATTTTATGAGCACACATATATAACCCAACACATATATAACCCAACCCAGAAATGAGCTGTTAGCAAAAGTTTAACAACAGAATCAATGACTTACTTCAACAAGCAAAACAAAGCAATTTTGGGGTATCATGAAAAATCTTGGCATATCACTTGGAATTTCTTGAGCCCTTCTATGTACAGGCAGTTACAACCTATAGGTATTTTAAAATTTGCTTTGCATTTCACTGAATGTTAACCCCCACCAGATGTCATGTGGATCCAAGCTCCAAGGATTGATGACTCTCTGTCAACCCAACTCTAGTGCAGTTTCACAGGTTGTGTTATGGAAGAGTAGCTATCTTCTTTAGAAATCCCTCTAGTTGTAGAAGGGGGTGTGTGTTGGGCAGTGTATTATGTCACTTGCATTAGGAGGGCGTTATGCCAAATAAATACAGGAAGCAGAGCTAGCTGTGCTTAAATGCATCCGTAGATAGAACACAAGCAGAGAATTGCAGGTTTAAGTACTCTCACTTAAAAGAACAGAGAACGGGGATGGGAAGATGTTTCCCCATCTGAAACTTGGGACAACAACGACCAAGAGAGGGCAAAGTCTGATGTGTTATCACACAGCTTTCTGTCAGTGGGATTTGGGCCCATCTAACTTTCCACAACAGCTTCAAGGAAGATCATAAGAAGATCTTATGACCACAGACCTTGATTGTTCTTTCTCTGTGCAATGAACTCATTTACCATGTCAGGGACTCTGTCCTATGTTCTTCTGACCAGTGAAGTTCAGGAAGAGGGTTCTTCAGAGAGAGAGAGAGAGACTTTTGGGATCCTGATGATGGGATCTTCACCCAAGGAACTCAGTTGGCTTCTTCCTTTCCTTGGTTTAGACTGCAAGGGCTGCTTTCTTTCACAGTAGATCTTGTAGGAAAGAGCCAGACATCTGAAGGAGTTTGGTAACCTCTTTTCCAACTAATCAAGTGTATCAGCCTTTGAAACCTATGAGTTTTAGTAACATTTGTTAGACAGAAAGGGGCTATTGGATCCCTCACAGGCTTCCAATGCTCAGCAACAGCAGGTGATGGTTCTGAACTTCTTCTCTTCCACTTCCTCCTCCAGCTTTCCAAAAAATATGGCCCTGTCTTCACTCTCCATTTTGGTCGACAAAAGTTTGTGGTGCTGGTTGGCTACGAGGCGGTGAAAGAGGCACTCCTGAGCAAGGGAAATGAGTTTATCGACAGGCCTCCGATCCCCATATTCTCACAGATCCAACATGGGAACGGTAACCATACTTGGGAATAAGAGAGCTGATTTTTAGATTCCAATCTTCCAAAGATGCAATTGAAAGAAAGTAGGGGAGGTGGCAGAATCAGGGTGCTCTTCCTTTACACATGTTTGGAAAGCAGAAAGAACTGTTTGAGAAACCATGCTTGAGGAGCGTTCCAGCTATCATGCAACTAAACACCCTTTAGTTCTCGCCAGCCTTGAAGATACACACAGACACAAATACACAACATACACATATATATTTGGTCATAGCATCAAAGCAAGGGAGATAGGAGAAGCTGGTCAGCCAAGATGGCTCTTGAACAGGAGGAGCTGGGTTGAAGATTACCCTGCATTGACCGTCTTTTAGTTGTCATTCCCCTTGAGGCCACCATTCTTGGTTCCGTCTATTGTTGATGGATTCCTGTTGATAGATAGGCTTGGATTTCTGGTCAACTTCATTCACACTTCTTCTCTGCTCCAGGGAGGTAGCATGGAGAGAAATAAGGGTGACAATTTAGGAGACCTTTGAGGGAATTCTATGAGATACGATCCTCCTTTGATGTGATATGAAGGAAGGGAGTGTCTTCCTCAGGTATGTTCTTCTCCATTGGAGAAGTGTGGAAGGACACCCGTCGGTTCACCTTGTCTACCATACGGAATCTCGGGATGGGCACCTCAGTGATCGAAGGAAAGATGCTTGAAGAGCTGAATTTCCTGGTTGAGCAGGTCAACTCCTTTAAAGGTGAGACGCTTCTTCTGTTCCTCATCCTGGGTTCTTCTACCTCCTTCACCTGCTCTTTGAATCATCTTCTGTTCTTCTTTCTTTCTTTCTTTCTTTCTTTCTTTTAAGGTGAGCCTTTTTCATTGAAGGCCTTCTCTGGTGCTCCCACAAATATCACCTTCACCGTACTGTTTGGAGACAGGTTTGACTATGCTGACCCAACTTTCAAGACCCTCTTAAGACTCATTGATGAAGTCATGAGTCTTCTGGGGTCTCCATCCTTACAGGTAAGAGGACCTTTCTTTGTTTTTCTTTCCCAGCAAAGGGAAAAAAGCTTGATGGTTTTCTTGCAGACATTTCATTGCCAAACTAGGTTACATCATCAGTGCTAGAAGGGAGGGGAGTTTGCACTGACGATGTTACCTAGTTTGGGTAATGAAATGTCTGCAAGAAAACCACCAAGCTCAGAGAACACCAAGGATCCCTCACTTTGCAAATGTCTGCTTCTTGCTTCAGAAATTAACACTTGTGGGTGGAGAGATGTGCAGCCGAGCATCCCAAATAAGTGGGCTGAAAAAGCTCCCTGGAAAGACAGAATAAATGTTCAGGGCTTTGGAAATGGAGGAAACAGGGACACCCCTCCCCTTTTAAGGCCTCTAGATGTCTTGGCATTGAGTCCCATCATTCCCATCCAGAAAGCAGAAAGGGAATGGCAGGAGCCAAAATCGTTTGGGCTGGAAGTTGCCAAATGCAATTCTTGACTTGGAAACACTTCGGTGTGTTTCGGTTATAACTTTTTCCTTGATTCTCTTGACGGAATCCATCATCTGCTTCACAGAAGCAAAGGACCAGCCCTTGCAAGCTCTTCCATTTCCTCCTGGTTTACTTGGATGCGGGTTTGACCCCATTAATGTTCGACCCCATTAATAAGTCCTGGAATTTCCGGAATAATTATTTTTTAAATGCTAAAGATCATGCATCAATCCGTTGCACTCCAAATGCTTGCTTCCAATTCTTTTGTGCCCTATCAGAATATCTAAAAGAGCTATTATAAATTTTTGGTGTTTTTTTAAAAAAAAATGCTTCCTTTTCAAAAGAAACTTCATTGCAGTCTTTTTGTCGTTTTCCCCTCCATAGAATGTTTCTTTTTCAAATTTACATTTATGAATTATGCCTAGAAAAAGCCTGTAGCTCCTCCGTGCAGTATCGTGAGATTTATTTGCTTTTTTAAAATAAAGTAAAATAAGGAGAATAGCTGCTCTTTGTAACTTCAAAATGTTGAATTAAAATCTGAGCCTTTCCAAAGGAAAGGATTTCTATAGTTAAACCTCTGAAGGCCCCCCCCCCTTTCTGTGCAAATCTAGGAAGACAACCTTAAAAACATTGACTAGAGGGGTTTAGGCACCCCTTAAATTAGCAGGCACCAAAGAGACATTATTACTGTAACCTCATTCTCATCTATAGGTTTTATCTTGATTTATTTGCTCTTTTCCAGCTGTTTAACATCTATCCGTTCCTTGGATTCCTTTTCAAACCCCATAAAATGATCTTGAAAAAAATCAAAGAAACCTGCGCCATCATAGAAAAATATTTGCGAGCTAGCAGGGAGACGCTGAGCGGGGACCAGCTACAAAGCTACATCGACTCCATGCTGTTCAAACAGCAGCAAGAGGTTGGTGTCTTCCGTGGTTCTGCGACTTTCGCATTTTGGCCTCCTAATCAAGAAGGTGGTCAGAAAGCTCTCTTGATGGATCCTCGAAGCACTGGGCCTCTTCCTTCGCCCCCCACCCCAAATATTAGTGCTTTCCATTCCTGATTTAGAAATTGCTGCCGTCAGGCTTAGTTGTGTAATTTAATTGTTTTCCATTCCTTGGGACCGTCTTCCAGATACCAACAGAAGAGAATATTTGTAGCTGAGGGTTGAACTGTGGGGTCTTTGTTGCTCTCTGAGCTTGGTGGTTTTCTTGCAGACATTTCATGACCCAACTAGGGAACATCATCAGTGCTAGAAGGCGGGGGGGGGCTGCGGAGAGGAAGAGGAGGAGTGTGGGGTCCTGGGTGCTCTCTGAGCTTGGTGGTTTTCTTGCAGAGATTTCATGACCCAGCTAGGGAACATCATAAATGCTAGAAGGGAGTGGGATGGAGGAGAAGGAGGATGAGGAGGACGAGGAGGAGGACGAGGAGGACTGTGTGGTCCTTGGTACTCTTTGAGCTTGGTGTTTTTTTGCAGACTGTTCATTACCCAACTAGGGAACATCATCAGTTGGGTTAAACTGATGATGTGATCTAATTGGGCAATATTGATGCCATCCAGTTGGGTACTGAAACATCTGCAAGAAAACAACCACACTCAGAGAGCACCATTTTCCAGATATGTGGAATAACTTGCCGAAAGGCCCCGAGACTTGGCTTTTTAGAACCTTGTTGGATTAGGGATTGTATTTTAGGGGAAAGCATTTTCTTCCCATGTTCATCAAGCACAAATTTTGCCTCTTGTGTTTAAGGGAGAGACTAGCAAGAAGAACATCTTTCATGACCATAATGTCATGGCCTCGGTGCTTGATCTGGTCATGGCTGGGACGGAGACCACCGCCACCACTTTGCAGTGGGCTATTCTGCTGATGATGAAGTACCCTGAGATCCAGAGTAAGCTAGAACTCTCTTTTGCTAAGACACCTGGTTTGGGCTGAGTCAGGGGAGGCTGGTCCCCACACCCCATTTGTCAATGACACTCCGGAGAAAATTGCAAATCCAAGCAGCCAGAAACAGCTCCAAATGAGTCAAAGGCCACCGAGTCCTTGACCTAGAGGTAGTAGTTGAATTCCTCCAAAGTTTAGACAGTGGTTATTATGGGCTTCTGCTGGCTTGGCAGTTGTTCTTGGAGGCCAGCAGATAGAATGCTTTGGATCACATCCCAACTGCTAAGAGCAGATGTCCTCAAGCTTTCTGCAGTTGAGGAACAAGTCAGGGGACACAACTGCCTCCCCAGGGCTGCTGAAGGAAAGGGGCTCTGGCTTCCTGGTGTTGACTTTCGGACCACTCCTCCTGCAGGGAAGGTCCAACAGGAAATCCAGCGAGTGCTTGGATCAGAGCGTTTACCTGTCTATGAAGACAGGAAGCGGATGCCCTTCACCAACGCCATGATTCATGAGGTCCAGAGGCTTGCTTCTGTTGTGCCACAGTTGCCACGCTGCACTGCCGTGGATACCCACTTCCAAGGCTACTTTATTCCAAAGGTATGAACTAGGTGGTGCTCAGGGTCGCAAGCAACAGGAGAGATGCTTGGGCAGAGGAAGCTTTGGAGAACGGAGATGTCCATGAAGGTCCATGTTATGTTGAGTTGGACCATCCGGGTTCAGGATTTCTGCCACCTTGAACCTTTTCCTTCTTCCCCCAAAATGTGGGAGCTGGAACTCATTCATTCTTGAACTAGTTTCTCAATTTGCTTCTGCTCCAGGGAACAGCAGTGATTCCTTCTCTGACCTCCTCGCTTTATGACGAAACCCAGTGGGAGACTCCCTACAAGTTTAACCCCAACCATTTTCTGGATGCTGAAGGGAACTTTGTGAAGAAAGATGCCTTCGTGCCTTTCTCAATAGGTGGGTAAAGAAGATCTGTGTGTGAGGAGGGTCTGGGGATCTAGGGAAGAGATGAGGTTGGCTGGGAGGTCAGTCTACAGCAGGGTGTCCAACTGTGGTAACTTCAAGACTTGTGGTCTTCAACTTCCAGAATTCCCCAGCCAGAATTCTGGGAGTCCACAAATCTTAAAGTTGCCAAGGTTGGACATCCCGGTCTACAGCCTGTTTTTTTTTTGGGGGGGGGGGACACCAAGAGAAGGTTTATGAGATGAAGCCTATCTCTAGAAGATGGCTAGATAGCTTGAAGACAATAAATTGCTCTGGTTTGGGCACCAGGATCCTGGGCAGCACCATGGATGTCTAACTGCTCCACCAGGATCTGGAACCGAAGTGGTTCTCCAAAGGTTCTCCCTCCAGTCTTTGATCTCCTGGTATGCTTTACTAGCTTTGCCAGTTAGGAACAGTGAGTAAGAAGACGGAGGCTCCTTCCTACTTCCTGGGCACCTGGAAAGCTCTCGAGGCCTTGAGGGAGTCTCACCCTGGACCTCTGTTTCTCCAGAACTTTGGGACAACCCTCAAGTGAGTCAGGGCCTTCCGGCTTCAGGTCCAGGAACACCACCCCTGCGTGGGCTCCAGGACGTTCTGAGGAGCTGTGCCCTGAAGCCAGCATTGCCAACTTTTCTGCCTTTTGTTCCTCTTCCTTTTTAAAAATGACCCTGGGGTGTTTTTTTGTTACAGGACGCAGGAACTGCCTTGGGGAAAGCCTGGCCAAGATGGAACTCTTCATCTTTGTGACCGGATTGTTGCAAAGGTTCATATTTCAAGCCCCGCCTGGAATGAAGGAAGCAGACCTGGAACTTACGACCGAGCCCGCCTTCACTCGGAGGCCTCAGCCCTACTCTACCTGTGCCGTGCCCACCAACTAGGACCCGGTTTCTCAACCTTGGCCACTTTAAAGAGGTGCGGACTTGAACTCCCAGAATTCCCCAGCCACTCTCCTCTCTCTCTTGACTTAATCCAGCATTCTGGGTGCTAAATTAATACTTCTGCCATTAAAGTCTGTTGCAAATGGGGGGAGCTGTTGTGTCCAGTCGCTATTACCATCCCTTTCTTGAAAAATGAAATGACAAATGGAAATTATTATTTATGTATCTGGGGAATCAAATTTGTGCTGTGGGTTCTGGAAAGGGTTTTTTGTGTGTGTGTGTTTTGCAAATAAGAACAGCCCATTAAAAACATGTGAAAGTAGCATGTATAGTGGAAGGCCCAAAATCTTGTATATGAAAACTTTCACTAAACCCAGTCCATTCCTTTAATCTTTGGGCCTCTTTGGAAAACTTTGGAGAAGTGCTAATATTTGGATATATTTTTTTCTATTTCTCTCCTTGACTCTGCTGCCACCTAGTGGTGACAGGAGGGCTATGAGTGTCCGTTCCTCAGTTCTTAATGTCTGCTGCCCCCTCCCGGCTTATTCATGAAACAGGAACTTGTGTTTTCATAACCACGATGGAGCTCGGAAAAGAGGAGAGGAACTTGACCCCGAGTCATGGGGGTCACTTAAGACCCTCATTCTTGGTGATGTGCTCCTGAGGTAAGGCTCAAGCCATGGTCGATCTTGAATCGGGTCAGCATCCAATTCTAAAATGAACTTGTGGGGGGTGGGAGGAGGAGGAGGACTGTGGGGTCTCTGGTGCTCTCTGAGCTTGGTTGTTTTCTTACAGACCTTTCATTACCCAAACTAGGGAACATCATCAGTGCTAGAAGGGAGTGGAGTTTGCAGGGAGGAGGAGGAGGAGGAGGAGATGTTTTGGGGATGGCAGCACAATCTGAAAGCCATTTATGACTTCTCAAGAACCTTGGAAACCAAGAAAACAAAGCAACGGACCATCGAACAGATCAACCCAGAGTTCACACTTGAGGCAGAGATGATCGTATTGTGGATCATTCTCCAAAGAGCTGGTTCTCTTGAGAAGTTCTTAATACTGGGAGGAAAGAGAAGAAGGGGACAACCAGGCAGCAAAGTGGATGGGCTCAATTGCAGTGGCGATGGATGGAGACCTGAAGCACCTGGTGGAGTATAGATCCTCCGGAGAAGAAGAGGTGACACCCACTTGATAGCACAAAATCAATCAAGGCCACTAAATGTTAGAGGGCAGGGAGAGGCTGATGTCCCTGGACAGACTCTGGGGGTCAGTATTGCCCCATTCAATGGAGCTGATGTGGCAAGCTCAGTGTGAGCATACCTTTCCCTCACTAAGATAAAGAAAACAGAAGTTGCCACACCTCTGGGTGTGGGCAAGGGAAACGGGCTTGTCTCTGTGATAATCAGACCCTCAGCTTTCCGTCCAACTTTGCAACCTCTTTGTAAACCTGTTGTCAGAAAGGGAGGGAGAGTTGAAGGAGAGTTTAGGCAGGAGGGAAGTGCATAGCAGAGAGGAAGGGAAGGTGGCTAAATAAAGGCTATCTCTTTCCCTTGAGATAGAACCAAGGTTATGCTAGATCAACTTGGTGGGTAACACTTGACTTCTCCATCAGGGTTTAATGGTCTCAACTTAGGCCAGCAAGGTGGGTGGCTACTTTTAGAAAAAGACCGTATAGGAACCGCTGTATCTCCTGCTTTGTGTTTCTATGAGAGAGTATCTGCAGGGACTACGTGGATCCAAATCTAGTGTGATGTTTGTCTAATGCAGGTGGGACCTACACAGTCAACAATATCATTATTATCTCTTGGGAAATGGCAGTGACAAATTTCATTGTGGCTGTTGGCACCAAACTCACATTTCAAGAACAGGCTGGTTAATGATAACCCACCTTCAGAGATCTGTAAGACTCTTGGTTTTAACAGATCAACCTTCCAGATGTTTCACTTAAGCAAGAATTTTGATCACGTCACCATGGGGATGTTGCAACGGTCGCAAGTGTGAAAAATGGTCAAAAGTCACTTTTTTCAGCACCGTTGTAATTCGAGGATTAGATGTATTGTTTGGCTGGACATCCCATTTCAGCATTCATACAAACGTGTAACTATTGTTTATGACATTTTATTAAAGAACAATCATACTGGTAAAGAATTGAACCCCTTTAGCGTTCAGGAAAAGAACAATCTTGCCCCTTTGTGTGTTTGTTTATTGTTTGGTGCGGGAGATTAACCTCCTTTCAGCTGGGCACAGGTGGTGGCGAAGGTCTTGTGAAGGTGGCCAAAGCCTCCTTTGATGCAGCACAAGGTCTGCCTGGCTGTAAACAGACCACACTTATGTTCGTATGTATCTGTCAGTGATGACACTGCAGTGTTGGGTTGGCTGGCTGGTGGGCGTTGGGCCCTTCCCCAAATAAACAGCACCGCCCTGCTTGAGTAAAAAGAACCTGCAAGATCTAGAAAAGGACTTGCTCCTACCAGGCTGACGGCTTGATCTTGCCGCATTTGCTTTGCAGAATTTGCTCCTAGGATTTCATATCAACTCCGTGCTGGAATTGAGCTGATGTAGGTTGCCATCTCTTACAGTTACCTTCCACATTTGCACTCCCAGGATTTCCCGCTAACATGAATTTAATTCCAATGTCCACTTGAGAAGTTTGACCTCCAAGACAACTTCATGATCTGCCTCCAGGTTGGTCCTACAGGTCTTTCAAGAATGACCCCATCACTGCCACAACCAAGTCCACTCCTTTGGTTTCTGACCAGCCTCTTCTTCTCCTTCCTTCTACCTTTCCCAGCATCAGAGCCTTCTCCAAAGAGATGGGTCTTCTGCCGATTGATTGACTAGATGCCATCAAGTCATTGTTGACTCTTCGCAAGAAGATAGCTTTTTTCCCCAGGATGACCTGTCTCCAACCTGGTCCTACAGGTCTTTCAAGAGTGGACCCATCACCACAACCAATTCCAACCACCTGGCTGATGATCATCCTCTTCTTCCTTCCTTCTTCCTTCCACCATTAAGGACTTCTCCAGAGAGCTGGTCTTTCACATCTTGTGTCCAAAGTCAGATCATTTTATCCTGGTCCTTTGTCATTTCTTTGAGCGAGAACTCTTGAGTTGATGTGTTTGATGATCCATTGATTTGTTGTCTCCATCCAATTCTCAGGAATCTTCTCCATCTCCAACCTCCCAAAACATCCATGTTCTTCTTCTCCTGCTTCTTCCAACTCCTGTATTTAAAAATATCATTTACTACAATGACTTCTGAGTTCACCTTCTGAAAAGCCAGCCTCCCCCTGGAATAAGAGGCTGAAAACCCGCAGCGGGAACAGGTGCCTCTGTGTGAGTGTGCGTTTCGGAGAGATTAGGTCTACTTTCAAAATTAAGCATGGGGTGGATCTGAGTGCTTTGTCTCCCACTTGAGATGAATCTAGTAAGCAAACAAAGTAAGGAGTTTCTAATGCAGAGCTAGGAGGGGATTATCACCCTGCCAAGCAAACACAGCGTAAGGTGCAGTTCTCCTGCAACGTGTTCTTTCCCCCCCCCTTCTTGCGGCTTTTGCCAAGGCCCCTTGGACTCTGAAGGGGGGGGGGGGAAGTTGTGTTGCTTAATGGGCCAAGGAAACAAGTGAGGCACCAGCACAAAGGGTAGGTTTCAGTGAATTCCCATTGAATTGCTGGCCCTTGGCCAGGAGCTCCACCCCATTGAAGCAGAGAGCAAAATTGGAGAAAAGAGGGAAAGCTGAAACCAGATGGGCACAGGAATTCTCACTTCCCACCTGTGGCTCTGACGTGGGAGGGCCTCTTTGCCCCTCTCAGGAAGAGAAAAAAGCCCCTTTGAGCTGCTCACCCCCTCCCCAGGCCTCGCCAAGCAGGACTGGCGACCCAGAGCTGCAACTCCCTAAGCTGGGAGTGAACCCAGGCCTACCTCTCCGAAAAGGGGTTAAAGGGCAGGAAAGAAAGAAGCATCTCGAGATGAGCAGCAAATAAAATGACAAAATTCAAGTTCCGGCCAAGCAACAGAGAAATTGTACATAATTATAGATGGTTGGTATGAAAGGAAAACTGGTCAATGCAGTCAGCTGTTTGTGACTGAATGGGGAGGGGGGCCAGTCGCTCCCCCCTTCCAAGGGGAAAGAATATAGAAAGAGAACTGACTCCTTTCTATGGAGCAGCAGAATCAGGTGGCCTTGTTTCCATGGGGGGGGGGGGCGGGGAAAGCTCAGCATCTAAGTGTGCACAGATTTGGGAAGGGGATGGTGCAAAACAGCCTGCCAGTCCGATTAAGTCTCTCTCTCTCTCTCTCATCTATCTATTTATCCATCTCTCACTATGTCTATCATCTATCCATCCATCTACATTTATTTGCCGCCCGTCTGGTGTCCAACGGACTCTGGGCGGCTCACAGCACAAAAGATCGTTCCTCGGTGAATGCTCCGTCTCGGCGTTCCGGCAGCTCGGTAGGCAGGTTTCTTTGGGGCCGGGGTCGAAGGAAAGGCCCGAGAGATGAAGACCCGCGCCGCAGCCTTTGTCTGCTTGTCTCGTCTCAGAGCGAGGAGGGGTCCCCGCGAGACGGCTGGATCCCACCGCCCCGATTCCGAAATCTCAGCCTCTTGCGATCGGCCAGTCCCGAAGCGTCTGGCGAAGCCCTCGCCCCTCCCCGGGCCGGGGATGGCAGGGACCCTCCCCGGCCAGCCGGCCGGCCGGCCAGCCAACTGCTCAGGCCCGGCTGCCTCCCTCCCTTCCCCGCCTCCGGCCCCCGAAGCGCTGCCACCCGCGCGCGTCCACCAAGCCTGAGCTATTCAACCGCCCCCTCCCCCCCCGCCCTCGCCTGGGTGCGCATTGTGTGCGCTTTCGCACATGACGTGGGGCAGGGAGGGACCCGCCTCTGACTCAGCCTCTTTCCCGATTGGGTTGGGCGTCCATTTGTGAAGAGCCAAGCCTCCTCGCCATTGGATCGCGGGCAAAGTCAATTACTTCCCCCCCCAAAAAACGTGTGTGTTTGGGGGGGGAGCGCGAAGAAAGCAGCAAGAGGCGGAGGGCTCTTCCCCCCTCCTCCCCCCCCTTTCCTCCCGGAGTCCCGGGAGCGCGTGACGGTCTTTCCCCTCCCCGCTTTCCGGATTCTCGCCCCCCCATTGGTAACCTTTGCAAAGGCTCGGCCTCCGCAGCGCGAGAGCCTGGGGGATTTTGTTGGGGGGGGAGGAGGAGGGGGGGTCCTGCTGGCTTAGTTTTGCACGCCCTGTGATTTCCAAGGCATCTCCTCCGACGGGGGGGGGCTGAGAAATCAAGGCGTTTCCCTCTCGCTGGACTACGCCGCCGCCCCCTTCCCTGCCCCTTCCCCGCGTGGAGGGGCGGCCTGCGCCTTGGAGGAGGCGGCGGGGCGCTGAGCGGGCCCTGGACGAGCCGGGCCCGGGATCCGGAGCTGCTCCGTCCGGGGAGGCGCTGCTGAGCTGGAACGGACCGCGCCGCCGGGTTTCCGGGCCGGCGAGAGGAGCCGCGCCGCATCCCGCGGCTGATCTCCGTCGCGCTTTCCTCGGCCGCGCCGCCCGCCTGGATCGGGCTCGAGCCCTGGATTGGCTTCCTCCGGCTGAGGGGGCGGCGGCATGGATGGCCCGCGGCCCTCGGCCGGGCCGGAGCCGGAGCTGTCTGCCGAGAGCAGCCGGGCGGTCCCGGCCGGGCGGCGCGGCGTGGAAGCCTCTGGCCGGCGCGTGGATTGAGCGCCCTCGCGTGGGACCTTCCGCCGCCTCCCGGCCGCCTCCCGCTGGGCCCGCCTGCCCCGGCAGCTGGAGGCTCGCCCTCCTCCTCCGCCGCCGCCCCGCTCCGCTCCGCCCCCCCCGGCTGGAGCCGCGGACCGGGAACAGCTGCGCGACCCCGAGCCGGGACCGGCTGGCCTGCCGCGCCCCCGTTTGGCTGCTGGGGGGCCCGAGCCGTGGGATGCGGCCCGCTGGGGCCCTCCGGAGGGCTGCGCATCGCTGGCAGAGAGAGGCCCGCGGCGGAGGCCGGGCGTAGCGGGCGGACTGCTCGCCTTTCCGACGACCTTCTTCGACAGCCGTGCGCGGCGGGGCCGGAGATCCGCGCGAGCGGGGCCTCGCCTGCCCTCCTTTGGCGGAACGACTGACGCGGGGAGGAGCAGCAGCAGCAGCACTTGGAGGGTCGATTTTTCTGGTTCTCCACCCCCCCCCCGGGAACTCCCCCCGGGAGCCACACACACACGCGCGCGCGCCATGGCTGCGAAAGAAAACCCCTGCCGGAAATTTCAGGCGAACATTTTCAATAAAAGCAAGTGTCAGAATTGCTTCAAGCCTCGGGAGTCGCACCTGCTGAACGACGAAGATTTGAACCAGGTAAGGCCTTCTTGGGCCGGGGGGGGGGTTTAGGAGTCCTGAGCGGCTGGGGGGGGTCGCTGGTCCCGGCTCTTGCAGGGCTGGAACCTCGGGGGGAAGCGAGGAGGGGGGCCAAGAGGCCCGGCCGGTGGGCTGTGGTTTCCGGGGAGGGGGAAGAGGTTGATGCCCAGAAGCAAAGCAACTTTGCAAATGCCAGACTGGGGCTGGGGGCGAGGGTGGCAGAAGAAATGTCCCTGTTTGGGTGTCGCAGGGTGGGGGCGGGCTGCGGATTCCCCCCCCCCCGAAAGATTTGCCCCGTCGCCGGGTTGGTATAATCAGCGCCCGCTTCCTTCCTGAGGCTTCAAAGGAGATACTTTTGGTTTACTTTGTGCGGCTTGTTTTGGCCTCCCAGATACTTTCTATCCTTTCCCACCTTCTCCATCTATCCTCACCCGGGAAAACTGGGGACAAAAGCGTCAGCAGGCCCAGACCTCGTTTGTAAACTTGCCAGCGAGGCGGTTTCATTATTTTTCTCTTTCTCGCCCTCCCTCTCGCCCTCCCTTTCCCCTTGAGGGATAGAATCTTGAAGCGCCCAGGGCTTCGCATTTCAAAGGCTGGGTCCGCCATATCAAAGGCAGCGTCAGGCGCCTTGCAAAGGATTAATGCGGCTTCCAGCCCCCGCCCCCCCCCAATCCCGCTTAGGTAACTTGGCTGTAAACGGAAGGGTCCGCCGCCTTTAAAAGCGGGGTCCCCGCCACCGGGCCCAGCCAATTCGGGCGCTAGCAGCGTGCATTTTTCTCAAAAAAAAGGGGAAAGAGTAGCCAGGCGTATTTGTCTCGTGCATTTAGACTCTTCCCCACCCCGCCTCCCGTGCATTGCGCCGCTGTTTATAAATAGAGAAACGGGGCGCGAGTGCGTGTGCAGGTGGCGTCCTGATTTCCACGCGTGGCTGGTTCCTTCCTGCGCCGCTTCTAAGTCTCTGCTCGCAATCCTATTGGGGGGGGAGGTCTCTGCCTGTTTGGATGCTGCCCCCTCCTTCACCCTGCTCCGCCATCTGCAAGCTAATATGGAAACTATGCACATGAGTGTGTGGTGCGTGTAAAGCGATAAAAGGGGCTGGCTAAGGGGTCAGCTTAGCTTTGTTTCCCATCCATCCTTCTCGCCTGAGGCCTTCAAGTATTATTAGTGTTGTTATTATTTTCCCCCTTAAAACCAGGGGGTTAAATCTCTGGTGTGAAAATGCCTGAATTGTTTGCTCGTTCTCCGTCCATCTCCTTCTAGAAAGGAGAAAAACACACAATTGTGTGGCCGGCCCAGCCTGAAAGACTGTGTTTGTGTCTGTGTTCTGTTCATAAACAAAGATAACTGTTCACTGCCCCACCACTTTGGAAGGGGAAGGGATGAACGGCTGGGATAGGTTAGGGTGCTTCCAATGTGGGGATTCTCCAGCTGTGTGGGACTACAGGCACCATATTTCCCCACCGCATTCCAGTTTGGTTTGGAAGCTTTCCTCACCTTGAAGAGGGTGGCGGTTGACATGCTGGGGTGAGACTCTGGATGTTCCCCACTTTGACCCATATCAGCCTTACCTGGAGCTGCTAGCTGTCAGTGTGCGGGGCTGTAGGGAGGAGGAGTTAGGAACCAATAAATCAGAATAGAGTTGGAAGGGACTCTTCTAGTCCAACCCCCTACTCAAGCAGGAGACCCTATGCATTTCAGACAGATGTCCAGTCTTTTCTTAAAAACCTCCAGTGATGGAGCAGCCACAACTTCTGGAGGCAAGCAGTTCCACTGGTTAATGGTTCTAACTGTGAGGAAGTTTCTCCTTAGTTCCAGGTTGCTTCTCTCCTTGATGAGTTTCCATCCGTTGCTTCTTCTCCTGCCTTCAGGCGCTTTGGAAAATAAGTTGAGCCCCCTCTTCTTTGGGGCAGCCCCTCAAATACTGGAACACTGCTATCATGTACACCCCCTCTCTCCCCCCCCCCGTCCTTCTTTTCTCTAGAGGAGACATACCCAGTTCCTGCAACCATTCTTCATATGTTTTAGTCTCCAGGCCTTTAATCATCCCAGCCCTGTAAAGTGGTATAGCCTGGAGTAGCCCTTTCTCAGGGGGGCTGCTTTGTGGAGGGGGGTATTCACCACTTGCAACAGGCCACTTCTGGTTTTGTTTGGCCCAGACCCCCATGGAGAGCCTTTTCTGTTATCTTTTGAGGCTGATGCAGGGGAAATTTATGGGGGTTTTCTCTAAAAAGGTCTCTCTGGGCCCGATTTTCCTGGACCAGCGCTGGTTTCCCTCCAGGCACGCTGGACTACAACTCCTATGATCCACCAACAAGCTTACATCGGCCTATCCACAACCAGCTGAGGAACCCACCTGGAGAACCTACAGTAACCCTTTCCTGGCTGTGTCCCAACCAGAGATGTACTGCCCCTGGATATGGAGGCTCCATTTGGCCTGATCACATAGCTTAGAACCATCTAAGCTGCTGCTGCTTTCGGTGGACCCTCCTGGAAGTAGATCTTGAAATGTCAGATCTTGCAAGATGGGATCCCGTGTCCCTGGTTCAGCTGACCTCATAAGAAGAAGAACAGGGCGATAATGTCTAGACAGAGGGAAGGAACGAGCAGTTCTCCAAATCCACAGCTGATGCCGGGGAATTTGGCTTGCGTAACTTGCGGTGAAGGCTGCCGGTCCAGAAAGCTCAGATAAGGTTGTGATGGAGGAGAAATGCATTGGCAGAGCCAGCTCAATGGAACCTCCATGTGCAAGAGCAATCTGCTTGCTTGGGTCGAAGTTAGAGAAACACTTCTCATGCCATGCGTCTTCAGTTCCCCAGCAGGCTTGATGGAGGAGTTGAAGTCTATAAGTCTTAAAGTTGCCAAGGTTGGAGACCCCTGTCATAAACATAGTAGCCCAAGGATTTTAACACCTCTCCTGGCTTTTAGGGAAAAAAAAAAAACCCAAAAGCCATTTGTTCTTCCTCCTGGATTGGTTCGCTTTGCATCTTCCGATTAGGAAGCTCGAGATCAGCGAGAAAGCAAGTTCTGGCTTTGCTTTGTTTTTCTGTTTGGTGTTTTGGAGAGCAGATTATCTCATCTTAGCTCTTAGCTGGCAGAACTTTTTTCTTCTCTCTTTTTTTCACTGCCAGGATATTTACATGCAATTAAACAGCAGCAGCAGACGGTTACCAAATTTGGTGGAGAAATCAGATAGTCAAACCTGACATTTTGTTTTTGTTTTGCAAAAAAAGGCTTTTGGTAGGTTGAGACCACAGAAGTTGGTATATTTTTGTTTCTTGGGGGACTTATTGTAAGAAAAGGAAAGCTTAACCCTGAATGCTATAAACAGCAGTCATCATCCCAGATAAAATAATAGGATAGTTCCTGGATTAGAAACCTGCTTTTCTTGTGTCTTGAAAATACAGGAGGGGAAATGAATTCTTAAACTACAGTGCAAAAAAAAAAAAAAAGATCTATCTTAAAAAGAGCAGTTTATGAAGACTGGGAAAACCTATTAGTGATATAAAGTGCTAAGTCATTATAAAAATTCTGTTGCCAAAAAAAAAAAAAAAAATCAAAGCCATTGGGTATATTCTGGCTGGTAAATATGTAAATGAAAAGTAACACTGAATTAAGCTGGAGAAAAGAAAATATATATATCAATTTATCTCCCTTCCTTGATTCTCCAGTCAGTTCTCAGGAAAAGAAGCTGAATATGAATGCAAAGGTGCTGAATAGCAATCCATCCTCTTGTGTATTGAGGACTAGCAGCTGGTATTTAAATGGTTCCCTGGCACGTGCCCGGCACAGTGTTCTTGGTTTTGGAAATAAATGGTGAAGCTATTTCATAGGTCCTTCCGTGTGCCCATAGAGCGTTCAGCAACACTGATGTGCACCTGAGCTTTGTGTGAAGGGCCAAGAGAATGGATGACTCACAAAGTCAGCCAGGTACCCAACACCACACAGGTGAGGCGGACAAATACCTGTTGACCACAGTGTAACACAGTGTGTACCCAGGATTATTCTGCTGCTCTTTAAAGGAAACGGTCCAGTGCATAGTTGATGCGATGCGATGGTGCACCTTTGAAAGGACTGCTAAGGGTTGGGAAGATGCGATGAGGTACCCAACAGTGAAAAAGGCATTTCTCCCTTTCTTTTCTTTCACTCTTTCTCCCTCCCTCCCTTCCTTCCTTCCTTCCTTCCTTCCTTCCTTCCTTCCTTCCTTCCTTCCTTCCGAAAGGCTAGGGCCTAACTTTTCAGTTGGTAGCAAAAGCCTAATGTTGAGGCTTGTCCTACTTTGCAGGGATCTCTGGGACCCCCGAAAAGATATTTGGCTTATTAGCAAAACTCCCCGTCTCTATTGCAAAGCAGTTTCTGGAAACAGAGATGAGATTTTTACAGTCAAAAGAGGGAAGTGAGATCTTTGCTAAGGAGATTACTCCTGGGCTAACCTTGTACGTGCTAATCAGGAGTTTGGCCCTAATCTGGGCATAATCTGATCCGGGTTTCCTTTAAAGTCCTTTAGAATTTAATGGGGCGTCTTTCTTAGATCTACATCTGGCTAGCTTTTCGGTATATTTGGACATGAAAACTTTCGATGAGTTTCGGAAGATGGCAAGGCAGAGCCCAAATCGATTATGGATGCCATCTTTTTGGAAAAAGATTTCGGCATTGTTTGCACCCAAGTCTTCTGCTCCTTTCCCTTTAAAGCAATGATTTTCAAACTTGGCCACCTTCAGATGGACTTCAATTCCCAGAATTCCCCAGCTTTTTTGAAAATCATTGCTTTTAAATAAACAGATCGTGGAAAGCATTGCCGGTTAATTCTGAATTGCCATTGAATTCCTAAATCCATGGTCGGTGGCTGATCGTGAAGATTAAAATGAAGATTTTGGGTTTTTTTTTAGCTAAATGTCAGATGTCTTTCCAGTGTTTGCTGTGGCAACCAACAAGCTTCAAGACTGCCTTTTTTTTTTTTTTTTTTTTTTGCAAAAGGAGGAAGTAGACACCATCTCTTGATT